CTTTTCTTTCCAAGCTCCTTTGACTACGATGACCTGGATGACTGAGAACCTTCACAGACAAACTCTTCCAAGTTCCTAAAACTACTGAAAACCTGTGGTTTCCGTCCTGCATGGTGTTAAATGCTGTCACAAAGCTGCAAGTAAACAAAGTGAATAAACCACAGACGTTTCCTGAGCGGTGGATACGTACCGGGGTTCGTCTCAGGCAGGCTGTGACTCTCCGGAGGCGAGGACACACGTGTCTGCTCTGCTCTGCTCGGAGACACTCGCACCTGCTTTCACACATTAACATAGCATGTTAATGACTGTGTGTGTGTGTGTATGTTTGTGTGTGTGTGTACGTGTCAGACGTCAGATATGCTCACGTGTGACTCTGTTCTCACATTAAACTGACAGTTTAAATAAATGAAGTGACAACTAACACGTTGTCTGTAAATCTGTGCTCTCAGCTGTGGAGACGACACGTTTCTCCAGGCCGCGCTGAAGTACCTGCACAGACAGGCTATCAAAAACTGTCTAACAGACTCTTGTTAGTGCTGACTTTACACTCAGCGCCACCACCAGGCGGTTCTTTTGTTAAAGCGGTGCTGAGACATCCTGCTTCCTCTCTAATCTAACTTTAAAGAAGGAGAGCTCAAATCTGTGTCCTGTGTTTGTACAAACTTTTATGAGGCTCTCAGAGTCAACGCCCTGACCTGGGTGACGTTGACTGATGGCAGAGTCTCGCTGGCAGGGTTTCGGCTGGAGGTGATCTTGGTAACCACGGCCGGCTGCTGAGGCACGGTGCCCAGGACCGGGCCCCTTATCTGGGGTCCACCCCCACCACCAGACCCCTGCAGGGAGATGGGGCTGTGGGGCCCGCTGCTGGAGCTGGAGGACGACCTCCGCCTGATGAAGGCAATCTCCACGGTCGGGTCGGGTCTAGAACACAAGCTGAGTCTGAGTTAAACGTCTGGATTTAACACTTAGAGTCCCCCGAGAGCAGCAGTGCCCAGCCTTCTACCTTTCTACCTTTAAAACCCGCCTTCCAGCCAAGGCGGGTTTTAAAGGTAGAAAAGCCAAATGGCTGCTCTTGGGGGACTCTAAGTGTTAAGTGATCAGAGACGACCTTCAGTTTATGTTTCTATTCAGTTTTTATTATTTACTAATATTTTCTATCTTATGGTTTCTGAATACTAAATGATGCTGTATCTTTGAAAAGCACCTGAAACAACAGCAGCACACGAACAGCTGTGTCTTTATGTCCTTGCTGTGTGCTATCCTGTCATTTGCACAATGTCTGTTCGGTATCAGGTGTGC